GGAGAACGGATCCGTGCGACCGCGTATCCGCGGGATCGCGTCTGGGTTAAAGGCCGCGAGGCGTCCATACGGGCGTGTGCGCCGCTCGTGCCGACCGCTCAAAGGTGCCCTCGTGGAGACCGCCGGCTCCGTGCGACCCTCTCCCCCAGCCCTGGGCGCTGGCCGGAGGATCGGCCGGTTGCCACCACGTGTGACCGGGGACAATGTTAGGTGTGGATCGTTATGTTGCATCCTCGGGGGACATTGTCTGTCCCGTCGCGGCCTTGTCCGCGTCGAATCCGTGTCGAATCCATGTCGGACGCGTCGGATCCGTGTCAAATCCGTGTCGAATCCGCGTCGAATCCACGCCAAATCCGCGTCGAATCCGCATCGAGCACGCGTCGGGCCCCCCAAAAGACACCAACTTTTGGGACAGGCGAGGTCCCCCGAATATGCAACAGAAGGATCGGCTCAGGGAGGGGGGCACCGAGCCCCTATCGCCCATCCCTCGCTGGTTGGGGGTCCGACAGCCCACCCGGCCCATGAGCGTGCGGATTCGCCATCGGGTGCTTGTCGCCGATGTTCCGGGGGGTGCGAGCAGATAGGGTCGGGGGATCGCGCCGCATCGCCGATGCATCGGCGATGCGGCTCGGTGTGGAGCTCGATTCTCTCCACGCCGACGGCGCCGATGCGTCGTCGATATATCGCCGATGTATCACCGATGCGTCGCCACTGCATCGGCGATGCATTGGCGATGCGGCGCGATCCTCCGACCCCATCTGCTCGGACCCGATGTGCGAGGCCTCCAAGTAGATCGGCGATCGATCGCCGATACCAGGTCGATGTTTCGTGATGTTTCCCCCACGTGAGCCAGTCCCCCTACCGGTCGGCGGCGAGCACGGGGGGGAATGGAGAGGGGGCGGGCCTGCTCGGAAGGCTCGCAGGGCCTTGGGCCTGCTGAGAGCTCCTCTCGGGGGCGTGCAGACATGGATCGGGGGAGGTGCCCTCCCCAAAACGCAGCCGGTGCCCCCTCGCTCGGCTGCGGAAGTCCGCGACTTCTGCCCATGGAAGCGGGGCCCGTCGCTAGTGGGCCCCGGAAACGGCAGGGCCGTTTTTTCACCGTTTCCGAAAAAGTGTCCCTTGAAAATGCATACGGCAAAAAAACGGCGACCAGAAACGGCAACAACAACGGCTCCAGGATTGGAACAGGAGCGGGAACCCGTAAAAGAACGGCGACGGAACCGGTAAAAGAACACCGTCGGAACCGGCAAACAAATGGCAAAACGGAGCCGGTTAAAAGACGGCTTCGTCGTTTCCAGGGCCCACTAAGGCCCCCTTGATCCGTGCTTGCGATGGCCCGATCCTCGGAGCCCTCAGACGGGGACGGCTTCTCAGCTGGCCGGGGGCCTTCCGAGAAGCCCCGCCGCCTTGCGAGAGGGCCCGCCCCCTCCGTGTTCCCCACCGGGCGCGCCGCGGGACCGCTGCCCCCCCCCCCCCCCACCCACTACCCCGCCCCCCCAACCAGAGGAGTGAGGAGGAAGAAGAGGAGGAGGAGAGAGGGAGGAGGAGAGGAGAGAGGAGAAGGCCGAGGGGGAGGAGGAGGAGGGGAGGAGGAGAGTGAGGAGAGGATGAGGAGGAGGAGGAGGAGGAGGAGAGGAGGGTAGAGGAGGAGGAGGAGGAGGAGAGGAGGAGAGGAGGGAGGAGGAGAGGAAGGAGGAGGAGGTGATAGTGAGGGGAGGGGAGGAAGAGGAGGGGAGGGAGGGGGAGGGAGGAGGAGGAGAAGGAAGGAAAAGGGGGAGAGAGAGGAGGAGGAGGACAGTGGAAGTGAGGAGTAGTGATGGAGGGGAAAGGAGGAGGAGAGGAGGGAGTGGTGAAGGGAGGGCAGCCCTGGAGCGATCCCCAGGACGGCAAGCCCGTCCCACGGGATGAGAGGGCACGACCCCGACGTGGGCCGCCTTCGGCTGAGGCCCGTCGTCGGTCGGGCCCGGAGGTCCCCGCGACCTGGCGACCGCTGCCATCACGCCCACGCTCGGCGGGGCCTTCTCCCCCACCTCCTCCTTCCTCCTCCTGCTCCTCCTTCCTCCTCCTCCTCCTTCCTCCTTTTCCTCCCAGCTCCTCCTTATCCTCCGCCACCTCTCTCCTCCCCTCCCTCCTCCTCCTCCTTCACGCCTCCTCTCCTATCCTCCACTCCTCCATCCTCCTCCTCCTCCTCCTCCCACCTCCCCCTCCTTCCTCCTCTCACTCCTCCTCCTCCTCTCCATTCTCCTCCCCCTCACTTTTCCCACCTCCCCTCCTCCCGCCCACCTCCTCACGCCTCCTACTTCTCCTCCTTCCTCCTCCTCCCTCCTCCCCTCCTCCTCCTCCTCTCCTCCTCCCCTCCGCCTCCCCCCTCATCCTCCGCCCTCCCTCCCTCCCTCCCTCCCTCCCTCCCTCCCTCCCTCCTCCCTCTCTCGTTCCCTCGGGGTACAATGGGGACCCATGCCAAGAAACACACTGCTCGCCTCCAGGGCGCCCTGGGTTTCCTGGGTTTGAACAGGCTTGCGATGGGCAGTGTGGCGTTTCCACGCCAACAAATCGATGGACGTCCTGGGGTCTCGGGGTTTGGCTTCTTGTGGAAGGTTTCCTGTGGTCGGGCCCCTACTGAAATGGGGAGGGGGGAACTCCTCTTAGGAGGAGGCTGCCTCTTTGGAGGCGCGGGCCTCGTAGATGTAAGGCCCCAGCGCCTTCTACAAGAAGCAGCCTCCCTCGAAGAAGCCTTCCCCCTCCCCCATGCCCGCCCTCTGCGCGCCGCCAACAGACAGCGCCTGCACTACGGGGCGCTGGCCTCTGCTCTGGGCAATCGGGTGGCACCCTTCGTTTTCTGTTGCGCGGTGGGCGCCAGTCGCTGCCTCGTCGCCGTCCCGTGGCGCTGGGTGGCGTGTCCGCATTGTCGCGTGGTGGGCACCGCGTCGCCGCTTCGTGCGCTTGCTTGCATTTCCCATGCCATTACCCCCATTCCTCGTCCTTCTTCCTTTTCTTTCCGCTTGCTCTCCCCAGGCGAATTGTCCGTGCACCCGCAGTCCATTTGCAGCGTCTTCCCTGCCTGTCCTGAATGGTTTAGGGGGCCACATGCGAACCCTACCTATACCCCCCACGAGTTCTGAGGGGGAGGGTGGGGTTCACTTCGCTCGGGAGCTCCCGAACGAGGTGAACCCCACCCTCCCCCTCAGAAATCGTGGGGGGGTAGGGGTAGGGTTCGCATGTGGCCCCCTAGGGTTGCCAGGTGCGCGCTCCTCTTTTGCCCACGCGTCCTTCCGGATGCTCGGCTCCGTGGCGGTGGCGGCGCGCGGTGGGCTCCCGTCACCGCCGCGTCGCCGCCTCGTCGCCGCCTCTCTCTCAAGATTTTACCGCACCCTTCCCCCCCCAGTCAGATTCCACCGCACGGGGCCACTTTCAGTATATACAAAAAAAAACCGCGGCTACGACCTGGGACCCTCGCTCGCCCCCCGGGGCGTTTGGGTATCGTATGCATTTTTTTTCGGGCGGAGCCTCGGGCGCGGGCTGGCGTTTTGAGGCATTCGCACGGCGAGCTCCGGTCGCCGCCTCGTCGCCGCCCCGCTTTCCGTGCTCTGGCTTTGTGTCTTGGGGCGTCGCGCGGTGGACGCCCTGTCGCGTCCTCGTCGCCGCCCCGCCCTCTTCATTTTATCATCATCATCGTCATCATCAGCATCAGCATCAGCGCCAGCACCATCACCATCACCATCATGATCATCACCATCATCAGCATCGTCGCATCGTCATCATCACTACCACCATCATCATCATCATCATCATCAGCATCATCAGCATGATCGTCACCAACACCATCATCAGTATCATCATCAGCAGTATCATCACCATCATCACCAACACCACCACTACCCAATTGTTAGCACTTGCGATTTACAGGTTTGTCATCCGTGTTATTGTTCTTGTTTGTATGATTAATCTGCAAAGTGTCGGACTAATTCATGGACTTGTTCGTATTTTCAACCTGAGCATCCTCATTATAAGCATTACTGTATTACTCATGTCTAGTATCGCCATGATCGTTTCTGCTATTATATGTACCCGTAGTATTATTGACACTGGTAGTATTATTATTAATCGTATCATTATTATTATTGTTATTATTTGTATTATTATTATTAGTATTATTATTATGATTACTAGTTTTTTATTAGTGGTAGTATAATTCTTAACATTACCATTATCATTATTCTTGCTATTACTTGCCACAGAATCATCATTATAAGCAACATTACTAGTGTTCTAATCTTAATACGAGTACCATTGTTATCGTTAGTACTATTACTTCCACTGCTATATGTAGTTATATTGCTGTTGTTTCTGTTGCTGTTGGTGTTATATTCAGCGTCAGCTTCAGCGTCATCGTCATCGTTGTCGCCGATGCCATCGTCTTCATCATCACTCACCCGCCCGTGCTCTTGCGCCGTTGCGCTATTTGAGTGTTGCCAACAAGGTGCGGGTGGGTGGGCGGGTGGGTGGGGTAACTGTTCGAAGCGTGGAATTGGCGACTTCAATACAGTCAAGTTCGATAGCGTCACATAGCCCGCACCTCATTCATTTGTGTGTATATATATTTATATGTATCTTACACATTCTGATTGCCGTAGCTCACTGTTTTGGGATCCATGTTGGCAAACCTTTTCTTGTATCTCTTTGACGTTCGCTTGGGCGCCAAGGCGAGGAGTGGGGCCAGTGGATTCCGGATTGAGTGGGAAGAGGAGGATGAGAAGGACGAGGAAGCGGAGAATGAGGAGGAGGAGGAGGAGCAGGAGGAGGAGGAGGAGGAGACGTACGGACAGGGGATGCTGAGAGGTATGATGGGAATGTGGAGGATCAGGAGGATGGTGAGGCGGCTGCTGAGGACGAGGAGGTGGAGGAGGTGCAACCGCATCGACCGGGGCGGGGGAGGAGGCGGATGGTGCCGAGGCAGAGGCTGGCGGGTCGCAGCCGGCCTCCGCGGCCATCTTTGGCACTCTGGCCCAAGTGCAGCTTGCCACCCCTTTTTGAGCAGCTCGTGGCGAACCCTAGAGGACACCCACAGTGGGCGGGCAGCGATGCTCTCCCGGGCGATCGGCTCCATGGCTTCCCCGGCCGCGGCCTCGGGTCCCGACGGCCGGCCGAGGAGGGCCGGGGCCGGCGCAGAGGCCCCGCGTGCGTGACCCAGGCGATCTCCTCCTCCTCGTCCTCCTCCTCCTCCTCCTCCTCGTCCCCCCCCCCCTCCTCAGGCGTGGGCTTAGGCCGTGGGAGACATTTCCCTGCGGTGCGTTTTCCTTGCACTGCTTCATACTGCACTGCCCGCCCCAGGCTCGTGCGCGCCCACGCACGGGTCGTCACACATCATACCTGCAGGGCGATCTCGTTCACCGCCTGGCACCGAGCCCGCCATCGGGCTCGCGCATGCGCCAGGCGTTTCTTGAAGATTGTAAAGCTGCGGGCTCTACCGAATAAGCATCACGGGTCTCAAGAATCTCCCATGCGCGGTGCCCCCCCCGGTGTGGACGGGAATGCTGCGCGACGAGGTAGAAGGCCAGAAGCCCAGAAGGAGCCGAGATGGGCATGCGTGGCGACACGACAGTGCGGCTTCGAGGGCAACTACGCCAGCAACGATAATTGCTATCAGTGCGGTCGCGACCGCCGTGGTGTACCTGATCCTAGCTTTGTACCACGGAAGCGACCACCTTCACGGAGACCATCCTCCCGTCCACGAGACTCTGGAGGAAAGGACAAGGATAAGAAACCTGACGGTGACAGCAGCGGTGCATCCAGCCCCGCAGATGGTGTTGCCCAGGCACGGCGAGCATTGGCGGCATTGCGGAAGTGCGGCCTGGGCGACGACGCCCCAGTTATTCAACAAGCTCGACGTGACTTACAAGTGGCCGAGGAGCGGGAGCAAGCTCATCGGACACCAGACGATATGCTTCGTCGATCCTTGGACAGGCACACGGCCAAATCCAAAGAGGTGGACGAACTCAACCAAGCAGTCGCCGAGTTGGAAATTAAGCTTGGTGACAAGAAGGCGGCGCTCGTCCAGGCCACCACGGAGTTGCAGAACATCCAGTCAGAGGTGCACCTGGCCAGGACCGCCGTACTCGCTGCCACCGCCCAGCCTGTTGGATCAGATTTACTATCCGTACAGGAAGCCATGGGTCGACTACAGACGGTGGTGGCAGGGGCCTCTGCGGCGATACTTGCAGGTAACTCTCCAACCATGCTTCAGCCTCTTCAGGACCAGCTGGCGCAGTTGCAGTCCGCAGTACAAGCCAGTGTCACTGCCCCAGGCACTCCGCAGGCACACCCATGGGCATCCCTACTTGAGATGCAGGAGGCCCAAGATGACGCTGCCGCCGAGGCCGAGATGGAGGAAAGCGAGTAAAGCAGTTCATTCTTTCGTATACTTTGAGATGCCACGGCTGTTCAACAATCAGGTTTGTTCTCTGGACGATCTGCCCTTGTCTGAACTACCCGCGGCAGTACCTACTACCGTCGACACGCATGGCTCGTCACCTCAGCTCTCTGGGGCAATTGGCGGCGAGTCGTACCGACCTTCGGGACCTAGTCCCGTCGGCACGCATGGCTCGACGTCCTCGCCTCGGGGGGCACGGAAGGGCGGGTCGTACCGACCTTTGGGAGTGCAACGTGCAGATACTACTATGACGGCTTCCAGTGGATTGAGCGGCGAGAGGCTATCTTATCCACAGGCTGACCAATCGACTCATTGCTCGGCTGCTACTGTGAGTGGCGAGAGGCTATCACGGCCAGCAGCTGATCGACTTCAATTTCCAACATCCGCTCGACGGGCACCCAGACGAGGCAGACGGAAGCCGCTTGCATTCGTCACCTACAATGCTAATGGTTGGACTCGTCTCAGAGGCTTTCTCGAAGAAGGCGCCGCTGGGGCTCTCATAGTCGCGTCTCAGGAGCTTCACGTTCGTGGCGACCAGCGGTTTCAGGCAGAAGAATGGTGTCAACGCAACGGGTGGAAGGCCTTCATCAGTGATTGTAAGACTGGCCCTACGGGTCAGCCGATGGCTGGAGTTGGCTTGTTCGTTCGGCACTACGTGGGCACGACCTTTCTGGACGCTCTTCCTGGCGTACGTGATCATGTGCTCGTAAAGTCGTGGTGCGTGGCGGTTTGCGTCCATACTGGCCCCCGTGGAGGGTTTGTTGCAGGCAGTATTTATCTCGAGCAGGGTCCTGGACTCACGGGTGACAACATACCTCGGCTCGAGCAGCTTGGCAAGGCGCTCAGATATTATCGCGCCCCATACGTCATCGGTGGGGACTGGAGCGTCTCCCCTCAGGTGCTGAGCGACAGTGCTTTCGTGGAGCGCATCGATGGCCACCTCATTGTCGCCCCGCTTGGATCTCATCGGGTTGCGACTAAAGGCACTTATACTTTCTTGGACTATTGGCTCGCCAGTGATGCCCTTGCGGCGGAAATGACCGATGCTCGTCGCGTTGAAGATTATCCGCCTCGCCCTCATTTTCCAATGCGAGTTCAAGTTGGCCCTCGGCCTCGAGCTCGACAACTAGTGCAGCTGCAGGGCCCACGTCTTCTGCCTGGTAAGCCAGCTCGCAAACCTCTTCTTTCTGATTACTCGGATGATGATGACGAAGACGCCGCCCCTCTGGGCGACTCTGGCATTGACTGGGTGGATAAGATGCGACAGGATGCTCAACTCGGGCCTGGTGATGACAGGTCACGTGCGGGTCGTCTGGATTTTCTGTGTCAGCAGTTGTACGCTGGAGCCGAGAAGGAGCTGGCCCCGCTGTTTGACTGCTCAGACTACGGCAAGTACCAAGGCCGTGGACGCCAGGTCACCTACCGCAAGACCACGGCGGGAGGCGCTCTGGCCAGCCAGCAACCCGCTGGCACTACTCATTCTCGTGCTGTTCGGGCCCTACAGCATCGTTTGGAAGACCTCGCGCACGTAGTGGCCAAGCACGGGTGTACACCCTTGCCGCAGCATAGCATGATCTGGCAGCCGCTCATTGATTTTGTCGGTGGTCAGGGTCGGCTGCGGCGGCTCACAGCGGCGCTCGGCGCCAGTTTGGTTCAGGAGGTCGTCTATTACATCACGTGCTTCTTTGTGCAGCCGTCCGTGTACCACGTGGCCTTCCTCCGCACCCTCTGTGTCACCCTGTCCAACCTTGCTGGTGCTGAGGAGCGGCGGCTGGGTCAAGCTCGAGGTCAAGGGTTTGTCAAATGGCTCAGGGATTGCTTGGGCAGCCGTTCTAAGCCTGTGCATTGCTGGACGAAACCTCGTGGGTGGCAGTTGTCCCAGGTCCACACTTCCCTGGGCCCTTCGAGCCACGCCGATGATGTGGCCAACGTTCAGCGGGAGTTTTGGGAAGGTATATGGGACGGTGGGTCTTCGCCAGCTTCTCTGGATGAGTTGCAGCAAGACTTGGCGCAGCTACGTGATTTGGGTCCCCGGCTTCCGCCAATGGGCATCCAGGAGCTGCGCAAGGCCGCCAAGGCCTTTCCTGCCAGGGCTGCAGTAGGTGCTGACCTATGGAGGCCCAAGCACTGGGCCCTGGTGTCGAATGGGGCTTTATCACTCTTGGGATATATGTTTCATCTATGTGAAGTGTGGTCTTCCTGGCCGCGGTATCTACAGCATATACATATCGTGCTGCTCCAGAAACCTGCGGGGGGTTATCGGCCTATCGCACAATTGGTGTCGTTATATCGAGTTTGGGCCAAGGCTCGCATTGGTCATGTACGAAGCTGGGCCAATAGGTTAGGTCGTCCGTACATCGCGCTCGGCACTGGCAGGGCGACCACGGACGTTGCCTCGCGTGTTCTGTTGCATGGTGAAGCTCATCCACCGCAGAAAAAAGGCGCAGTGGAATGACATTATCTGCCTTCACGCCATCGTGGACATTGAGAAATGTTTCGACAGGGTTCCCTGGGCCGTCATCACACAAGCTGCTATCAAGCACGGTTTCCCAGGGGCTTTGGTGGCTCTAGCTTTGCGCATGTACACGTACGAGCGTCGATTAGCTTGGGATGGGGCTTTCTCGGAACCTGTGTTTGCTTCTCGGGGAGTACTTCCAGGATGCAGCATGGCGATGTTTATATTACAGCTGGTTCTGTTATCGCCTATCGACGCTTTGTATGGTAGCTCGGTGCACATTGATCGCGCGCTGCACGTGTACGCTGACGACCTGACGGTACAGATCCAAGCAAAGGTAGATAGTATTTGCAAGCACGCATGTTATGTGTTGGAAGGGTTGGTGGACGTGCTCGGCTCCGTTGACTTGGCGCCCGCCAAGCGCAAGATGACCGTGACTTGTGCTTATCCCACCTACGCTCAACGGGTCTGTCGTGCTCTTGGCAATTTCGGTTATCGATATGTGTCGGCCCTAGAAGTGCTGGGCATAGAGGTCACCTCAGGACGACCTTTACGCTTTCAGAGGCTTCGTGCACGAGTGCGTAAGATGGGTACTCGCTTCCCTAGATTGCGTCGTGTTCGTAAGGCTGGGGCTCTCACTGGTAGGTTTGCCAAGTTTGCTGTTCCTGCTGCTCTCAACTACGGGGTGGGAGTACATGGTGCGCCTCCAGCCGTCGTCGACTCCATGCGTAAGGCTATGCATAGTGTATGGTATGAACCAGGTCGTGCTGGTTCGTCGTGGATATCATCCTTCTTGCATGGAGGGGGTCCTCAGGACCCCCAGATCGCAGCATGGGTGGATCCGATCTATCAGTGGTGCTTACTGTGTTGGGATCGTTCACAACATGCACTACTTCAACAGGCCTGGCGTCGTCAGGCCCCAGTTATTTACGTATCCAAGCAACCATGGGGTTTAGTGTCGGGTCCCATAGGGGCCACGCTGCTCGCGTTTCGTTCGCTCAGATGGGTTTTGTCCTCTGCTTTCGCGGTTCGGACTGAACAAGGGGATGCACTCGACCTTCGTGAAGCGTCTCCTCTTGCTGTACGAGATATGGCCCGTGCTGCTGCCGTGCGACGATTGTGGTCGGATTGGGCCTCTCGGGCTGATCGTGACACCTCGTGCACTTTGGACCCCAAGAGCCCCACAGGGTACTGGCTGGAGCCCATGGTCTCGCTCTTGGGTAAGGCTAGGC